AGCCCTGCCCACCCTCCCACACACATGGCAGGGTGGCGGCAGGCAGGTGGCGAGTCGGGAAGAACAAGTCCACACGCAGGAATGCCCCTGCTGCCCCCAGCGGGTCCCGGCCGCTTGCCCCTCCCCGGGTGCTGCTGACCCGGAGCGCCCACCAGGAACACCCCTCCGCCCGGGCTGGCTCAGAGGACGCCCCGTCGCAGCCCAAGCGCCGCATCCCCCGGCTCCCGTGACCCCACAGAGGCCTTTCCTCGGGCTGTCACGATGCTCCATGGACACGGGTCCCAATGACCCTGCCCCGCCTGCATGGCCAGGAAATTACGGGGGGCGTTCTGGTGGGACAGGTGTGAGATGGCACACGATGAGCTGGAACTCGGAGATGAGATGGGACCCAGAAGCGAGGTGGGATGCAGGGGTGAGATGGACCCGGGGGTGAGATGGGACCTCAGGCGTGAGATCAGACCCCAGGGCTGTGATGGGCCTCCCCAGGCAGGGCCAGGACTCAGGAGAGAGAGAGGCAGGGACGGATGGGCTTCCTGGAGAAGGAGGTAAACTTCAGTGGGTGACAGGTACCCTGCGCCCCCTGGAAGGCGAGGACCAGGCTGTCCATGCCTGACCCCCCGCTGGGGCTGGGGATGGGAGGAAGGTAGCCAGGAGGCTCGGCCGTGCTGCCAAGCTTTGGCCAAGGCCTCTGCCTCCCTCTGCTGGCCTCTCGCGGCCCAGAGCCCTGCCCCTGGCCACCCCCGGCTGTCTTTCGCCGGGACACTCCTGGTGGGGCAGGAGCCCAAGGGACCACGCCCCAGGCGACCCAGCCTCCCCGCTGTCTCACCCAAATCAGCAGGGCCGGAAGATGGGGCACCCTCTGGGGCCCCCCCGTGTCCTGACCTCATCCGGCACCACGGCGAGGACGGGGCTCACTCTGGGTCTCATCACCGGGTCCCCTGTGAGTTGCGGGACCCCCGAGAGGGGTTGGGGAGGCCCAGTGAGTGGGGCTCAGCGTCCCACACCCCCAGGGCCCCGCTGGACTCTCATCGCTGGCGCCCTCGCCGCAGGCATCCTCCTGGTCTCCTGCGTCCTCTGTGTCGCCGGCTGTTGCCGTCACCGCCGCGGCCGGAAGAAGCCCAGAGGCAAGGAGGTCCTGGGCCTGGGCAGTACTCGCAGTACCACCCCCACCCACCTGGTGAGAAGCAGCTCCCGCGGCCCTGCTTGGGCTTGGGCCAGAGGCATCCCCGGGGCCAGGCTCGGAGGCTCCCAGCAGCCCGGGGCAGTCAGGGGCGAGCTCAGCTTCTGGGGATAAGCAGAGGTGGGGGGGTCGTGCAAAAAAGACACGGGTCGGTCCACGGGCCACGAGAGCCACTGCAGAGCTGGAGGAAGGCACCCAGACCCATATTTGGGGCCAATGTGGCCGGTCTTGCAGTTACGCCGAGCCGTTTAGGGGGTCGGGCTGGAGGTGGGCGGCTTGACCCACATCGTGGAACTGCTGCCCGGGGTCCCAGGGCTCCGATGCCACCTTGGCCCCACCCCCCGCAGGTGCAGCCGGACGGGAACCACTTGGAGCCCAGCCCTGGGGGCTCTCGGCAGTGGGGACGCCTGCTGCTGTCCCTGGAGTACGGTTTGGACGCCAGGGGGTGAAGGGGCCCCTGTCCCAGGCCTGGAGGCACCGCGGGATTGGGGAGCAGGCGTGGCGGAGGGGCGGGCACCATGCCCGTGGTGGGGAGCTGACGGGGGAGACCCTCGGCTGAGCCCACCCCACCGGCTCCCAGGTGAGGGTGGGCCTGAGGCAGGCGGCCGACCCGAGGGCCGGGGGCACGGCAGACCCTTCCGCCCGCGTCAGCGTGTCCACCCAGGCTGGGCATGGGCACGAGACCAAGGTGCGCCGAGACACGCTCTGCCCTGTGTTTGACGAAACCTGCTGTTTGCATGTGAGCCTGAGCTGGGCGGAGGGCGGGTCGGCAGGGCGGTGGGCCTGGCTCACTCCCTGCCAGGTCCCGCTGGCGGGGCTGCCCAGGGCCACCCTGCGGGTGCAGCTGCTGGACTTCAAGTGCTTCTCAGAGCACGAGCCACTGGGTGCACTCCGCCTGCCACTGGGCACCATGGACCTGCAGCATGTTCTGGAACACGGGCACCAGCTCGCCCGCCTGGCGAGTCCGAGATGAGGCGCCGAGTGCCAGATCCAGGCCGGCCTTCAGCTCCAGGCCGAGCCGGCACGGACCCGGCTGTTGGGAGACTGAGGCCTGGAGGGCAGCCGCTGCGGGGCCTGAACCCCAACCAGGCAGGGGCGACCCCCAGGCTGAAGGCCCCCTCACCGTCCACAGCCCGAGCAGACGGGGAAGCTGTGCGTCTCTCTCCACTGCGTGCCCGGATCCAGCCGGCTTGACCGTGGTGGTGTTGGAAGCCCGGGGCCTGTGTCCAGGACTGGCAGGTGAGGCTCACAGTGGCCAGTGCCGTGGACAGAGGCCAGGCCGCGCTCAGCCCTGATGCCCCCGCCCCCTCGCACCCCAGAGCCCTACGTGAAGGCCCAGCTCGTGAGGAGCCAGAGGAGGTGGAGGAAGAAGAGGACGTCCGCCGGGAAGGGCATGGCTGCCCCCCACCTCAGTGAGGCCTTTGCCTTCCTCGTTCCTTTCAGCCAGATCCAGGTGGGCTCTGGGAGAAAGG